ATTGTTGCTGCTGCTGTTATTAACAAAGTTTCCTCTTAGGTATCAGGGTCATGGTATAAATCTAAATACAGACACACATTCATGTATTGTCTGCTCAATTCATACGAAACATGTAACATACGAAAAATGCCAATATATGGGCAGAAAGATAGATAGATAGAGACATAGAAAAAGAGAGAAAGAGAGAAAGAGAAAAAGAGAAAGAGAGTTGGGAGAGAGAGAGAGAGGGCGAGATGGAGGGAATTGAGAGTGACATTGCAGAAGGTTGCACTTCAAGGATAATCATATTGTATGTATGAGTAGCTCGTTATTGGAAGGAACTCGATACCTGCGTGCGTGTTAGTTAGAATTTCATCAGCTATACACGAAACTACTGTGAGCGTGGGTGGTAGAAAATTGAGTACGATTCACAGGACATTAAGTAAGACTTTCACGGAAACCTTGAATTCCGCACAAAAAATATCAATCGAATCCATAAGTTTAGAGCTACCATACGCAAAGAAATATACAGACCATTGGACTATTGCGCAAAGAAGGAAGGATAAGTTAATATTCGTGGGTAAATATGAAATAACTTGCGAAGAAATTTCACGTGCATATCTATGAAAGGAAGTTCTTTACACATCAAACTCTTTTAATATATCGTTACATAAATAAGTTAAACACATATGTTGAGTGCAATTTACTAAACGACTTACTCTAAAAATTTGAAAATTTTCCGAGATAATGCAGCTGATAAAGTTGAAGCAAGATTCGATTTTTGTAATCGACAAGTCTTCCCTGATTTTAATTTCTCACAAACAACTTTTTCCTTATGGCGTACAATTTGTGTACTTGTATATTTGGAGCCTTGTGATATGACAAAGCGGGCGACATTCTTTCTCTTCCCTGTTCAAAATATTTTATTTTTTTATTTAATTTCACAATGTAATGATTTTTTTAAATTTAATTTAATGTAGATTATCCTTATGATTCCACCTATTTCTCCTATTATTATTATTATTATTATTATTATTATTATTATTATTATCTTTTACCCGCTTTGTATGGAAATGTATTCATGAACTTGCAGATTATCCTGAATTCATTATGATGTGAAATATATATATATGTATATATGTATTATTATTATTATTATTATTTTAATTTTAGACTAATGAATTGAATTCTTAGACTAAAAAAAGAGACATTGAGCACTAGCAACACAGGGTATCGGCTCATGTATATATGTATATATGTATATATGTTCCATTTTCTATCATCGAATTAGATGCAACTCTACCCAAACTCTTTAGTAATTGGACTCATACTTTTCAATAGAAAGGATTTTAATCGCTATTTCGATTTGTTTAGAATGCAAGAGTCTCGGCCAGATAATGTATAGGAACAGAGAGGCAACTGAAAAGTTTCATTTTGCCATGGCGTATGTTTTACAATAAGAAAAATTAAATAAGCCAATATGAACAGATATATAACAGATGCATAAGTAATAGCCATATGCAATTTGTTATTATATTACCATCCGCGGAATTTTGGGAAACTTGGTAACCCTCTGGCTGCTATTATATATATAGTTTTCTAAGTTTGTGTATACGCGAAGTAATTTTCAATGAAATCTTACTAACACAAACGCAACAAAAATATCAATGAACTTCTGAGCCAGAGAGACAATAATAATAATAAAGCAACTAATGAAGAGAGAAAAATGAGAGAGAAAACATGTGCAAACAAAGATTATTTGTGTGCCGAGAGCATCTCATATGTATATATATATATATATATATATATCTATATATGTAAATGTATAATGCACGTATACATATTTAAATGAATATGAAAATGTATGGATGCAAGGTTTGCCGGATTTGCGAATTTATGTCCTTTTGCGGACAATAAAATGTGAACAAAACTCATTGCCAATCAATAGTATCTTAAAGCCGAAAGCACACTCATACACACAAAAACCGAATATATCTGTATTATCCCAATTAAAACAAATTTTTTAGAACACTTTTATTTACTTACTACGTCGTATCGAGGTACAATGCATCGAAAGATTAAGTCTTCGTATTTATAGTAGGAATCAAATGATTGCATAATGTGATAGGAAGATTTGGCGCAGTGACCTCGAAAGCATTATAAGCAGGAAGGACATAGATCAGCGCAGTTATTTTAGCCAATTTAGTTCCTCTACGAAATCAAGTAGAATAACGGTAAATATATGTGCGGGAGGCTAAAAAAAGATGCAACTATTGAGGATTTTTACGTGAAAAAATGCTTAGAGAAGAAACCATATCTCGAAACAATCAGACCTTGAAATAGAGATAGGGATATATTCATCGAGATTCTCATCGATCTTATGAACTTCAACTACATTCCGAATATGGAAGAAAAAGCCATATATTTTTCAAAAATATTGTTATCGTATGTGACAGCAATTACTCGTCGTATCTAGTAGCAGAAGTTTGTGCTTCCAACAAGCCATTCATTGCTAAGATCAACCCAACAAAGGCTATACATTTGATTCTAATCTATTTGACGTTCTCCGAAGCCGGTCACAACATCGAAATGTGTGAATTATCAAAATATTGAACGAACACTTGAGCGAATTTGGAATATGCGATAATCGTGCTAAGATTGCGATACAAATTTTTTTTTTCACAAAACAAAAATCAAGTCAATAATTAAGTTTTCAACCAGGTATTCTTCCGTTAGGACTATAAGTTTTCGATTGGACGTTAGCTTGAAATAAAAAAAAAAAAAAAAATGGAACAATTGGATAACATTTAAAAATTAACCAGACTGTACCTTACTTCTTACTTCTTCTCGTTCACAAATTGGTGAACTTAAACACCGCTCTGCAGCGTTAAAATCGTTAACAGTTTGAAAATCTCTTTAAATTATTTTCTAAACTGTCTCTTAACATTTTTTAAAGATAAATAATTAAAATAACACGGACTCGACAGGTATATGTACATTTACTGCAAACATAGCAAGTAATTTAGATTTCAAGATTTCTATGATCGAGAATACTGTTGCGTCTATGTTTATATTTGTTGTAAACAAAGTTTGTAAGCAAAGTTTCGAAGGGAAAATATTTAAAAATATATAATTTCTCGATTTTTACAGCGCACGAATGACAGCTGACCAGTCGATTTTTTTTTCTTTTTTTTTTTTTGTGGGTTCAGCGTTTTCGCTCTTCGGATATAAAGAAACGAGACCGAGATTGAAAATAAATATTCTTCCTCTTCACACATTCCATATACAATGAAATCGTATTTACGTGGCCAATCTCTCCGCTTTTCTCAAATATAGAATGAAAATTTAGTTTTTATTATATACACGATCTTTCGTATATTTGAATACAAAAGCGATTGGAAAATCACTTGAGTGCATCTAACGGAATTGTCATATGGAGTAGCTGAATATACTGAATTTGCCAATAACATCTGTATTTTGCTCGCAATTGGCTTTTAAAAAAAAATAGAACAAAACGCAACGGATCTGTTAAGCTACTCTTTTTGCATGGAATTAATGATCCGTCAAGACTATGTGAGAGGCAAACAACTAAAAATTAAATAATTTTTCAAAATAATTTGTATTCGTTTGTAACCATAGCAGTAAAAAGATGTTCTTGATTAACTTTCAGAAGCTTGTAATTTGATAGAGAACTTGCATTTGTTACAAATGTGCTTATTAATCTAAGCTTGGAGATTTTAATGGCCCATTTTGGGAGTATTTAAGTATTTAGCAAATTCTCATCGGTTGGAAAGCGTTTTCATATATCTAAACATAAAACAAGTATACATTAATAAAAATAAAAACAAGAAAAAAACAAACAATGTCAAGCAAAACTCAATGAAACACAGAGGCAAGGTAGAGAGTTTCGAACATGTGTATAAATACGTATAAATACGTTTGAATGCAACGTAAGTGAGCGTTATTTTTTTGCTGTTGCTTGTTGCGAGAGACTACACAAATACACTCACAGGCAGTAGTGCGTACGTATAGTTAACGCAATATATATATATATATATATATATATATGAGTAGTGTTGGATAACTGGCTCTGGTTGATGAGTTAGTTGGTTTACCAGTTGTTATTGTTGTTTTTCTTTTTATTGTGTATATATGAAAACTATACATATCGATACATATGCATATAACATAAATTTGTATGTACATATATGCCAACTACAGATATATTTATGTATAAACAATATTGAAACTCAACGGCTTTGCTATGAGTTTAAAATGACTGTTGGATAAAAATCACTTTCTCAGAGTAAAATTTAACTTTCCTGTATATTTCCTATGAAGACCACGAGTGACTTTTTGAATTTGCTGAGAATAAAATTCTATTTCTCAGAGTAAATTTTTACTTTCCTATACATATCTTATGAAGACCACCGAGTGGCTTTTCGAATTTGCTGAGAATAAAATTCTACTTCTCAGAGTAATAATAATAATCATTTTATATGCTAATCCAACAGTCATTTTGAACTCATAGCAAAGCCGTTGAGTTTCAATACATATAAAATGTAAATACATCTGTAGTAGGCATATGTGTACAAACACATTTATATTATATTATATGCATATGCATGGATATGTATAGTTTTTCATATATACACAATAAAAACAAAAACAACAACAACAACTGGTAAACCAACTAACTCATCAACCAGAGCCAGTTATCCAACACTACTCATATGTATATATATATATATATATTGCGTTAACTATACGTACGCATTGCGAGAGTATTTGTGTAATCTCTCGCAAGCAGCAACAGCAAAAAAATAACGCTTACGTTCATTTCATTATAAAAAGCAAAGCATTAACAGGAGCATAGCATCATTAACAATTTTTTCTATTTTTAATGGCATTGTAAGTCGCGAAATTAATACAAAGAAAGATTATTAATTAATATTATTGTAAAAAGAGATATTATTATTTTCCTTCCGAGATCGAAATTAAATTTTTTTACTCGCAACGCGACAAAATAAAATAAAATACGCGAAAAGTAATTCATTTAATATCTTTTTATTAATTTTTTATCAATTTCGTCGTTAGCTTATCGTGTGGTGTAAATGCTTTTTGTGTGCCTTGATGACCACAATATAAAATATAAAAACATACATAAAGTCAAATAACATTGTTGAACAAAAAGTTTATTGTAAGCGTTTTCCATTATTATTTTTTTTTTTTGTAAGGAAAAGTTCTAAGGTGTTTATATGAAAGTATTGAGCAAAAGAACAAAATGCCAAAAAAAAATAAAATAAATTAATAAATAAATAAATAAATAACAGAACATAAAAGAAAAAAGTGTAAAATCACATTAGTTTGTGTTTTAAAAGTGATTTGATGAATCAAAATTTAAAAAGATAAGAGTTTAAATTAAAAATGATTATGTTCATCTTTCGTTAACAATTTAATACATTTTTGGGAAAAGAAAAATTGCTATAATGAGAATTAATTTTCTTAAATAGTAAACAGAAGCACATTCACTAAGTGGAATGATAGAAAAAACATTTAAACAACAATGGGAATAACTTTGCGTTTAGATAGCGAAGAACAGTAGCAGTAGCAGCAGCAGCACCAGCAGCAGCACCAGCAATAACAACAATAATAATAGCGATTAAATGCGCTCTCATTAGTACAACAGTACAACAGCCATGAGTAATGTCAAGTTGACAAAACCAAACATGAAAATAAGAAAAATGCCTGCATGCATTATAACGCATGCATTTACATGTTTTTAATAAGAAAATGTAACGTTTACCATAAGTAAAGGTACTTAGAGAAAGAGGGAGAGAGAAAGAGAGAGAATATCAAATTTTTGCTTATTTTAACGTACATGTATATATATATATATATATATATATATATATATTTGCATTCGTATGTATAGAAATGCTGCTGCTTTCGTTTTTCATATCGCGTTTTGTTTAGAAATAAGAAAATGACAAATGATAGATGAATTTTATAAGATAACAATAATATGTTAAAAAAATTTATGTGTATCTATGTGTTAATGCAACAACAATAATAAATTATCTTTTAATAAAAATGAAATAAAATCATCTATCTCATCAACAGGAATAACTAAACTTAAAAATAAATTAAAAGATATATGATTAACATTGCTTTTTATGACAAATACAACGTTTTCCAACACTGTTGTTAATAACCCAACAAACTTCCTTAAAGAAATTAAATAAATAATGCCTGAAACCGAATATGAATTTATAACGAAGGAGTGGCTACAGTCTGAATTAAGGGCTGTATCAGCCTCTTCTTCGTTACGCGATGCCAAAAATTTAATAATAATGGACTGTCGTAGCTCTCATGAGTTTAGCGAGTGCCATATTAGATCTGCGGTCAATTTTTCAATACCTAGTATAATGCTAAGGCGTTTAGCAGCTGGCAAAATTGATCTTTTATCTACAATTAAATCGAGTGAACTTAAAGAACGCATACAAAACGGTTACAAGGTCAGTTTAATTGTACTTTACAACGACGTGGGTGTAAATACCGGTAGTGTAACAATAACATCTACTGATACTAATATTAGCAATTTACCTAACGACCAATCATCATCTATGGATTATTTAGGAAGCAATAACACTGATTTAACCGGCTCCGATAGTACCATAAATGTTTTATATAAACGTTTAAAACAAGATGGTTGTCGCGTAGTATCGTTACAAGGTAAGACAAAAAATAATTTTATCTTTCATACTTAACCCAAATTTTTTTGTTTTTCACTTCTCGCGAAGCCATAAACATTAAATATAAATATATCGTTACGAAAAAAGGCTATTAACTTCTTATCTTGTGTACATGTGTTGATTTCTTGCCTCTGTTACATAAAACACATTCATAATTTTGATATTTTTAATTCAAAAAATTTAAGTGTTGCTTTATAATATTTCAATTGATGCATTTGAATATTTTCACTTGAGCAAAATAGTTTTTGAAAACAAAAAAGAAACTATATTCGTTTTAGAACGAATGCAGTTTTTGCATTTTTTGTCGAAATTGTAAGCGTATCCAAGGATTGACTGAAGTCATTATACGATTTGTTTAATACCCATCACGTAGAAATTCTACGTAACCTCAAAATTTGCCAATCAAATTGATTTGTTAAATGTTTACTTATTCTTCTTTGCTCTCCTCCTATCTGCTGTAGGTGAATATGTTATTTTTTGAATTTAAAAATGAATTTAGCAAGACTGTCCTTTGGTCTGTGTATTTCACATAAATGTTCAATTCAGAATTGTAGTGATTATTTATGTTGGCTTCTGACTTGTTTCTAACATGTGTTTGTACAGTGCTGGCAAAAAATATTATTTAATAGTGTGGCTATTTTAGTGCCAGTAGTTTTTTTTTCGCAACATTTTTTTGGTCAAATTAAAAGAAAAACTCATTTAAGTGCTACGTACTCACATTTATTACAGGGTTTTATGCCTTGGTGTACTTGCATTTTATTTTCGAAACTTTGACCCGATCAGGTGCCTTAGATCGTTAAATTAGCATCATAAATGGCCAAAATCAATATTATTCGTTAAATTTTGCTTACATGATCGTTTGCGAAAATCGAGTAAGTGTTCTTTTGAAGAGACGAAAAAAATTATTTAGGTTTGGCATTATTGTTGTCCAGCTAAAGCGAAGGTGCGATCATATGATGCAAAAGTCTATTCGCTTTATCTGATATCAAGCGAATATTCAAATCCAAATTTTAACGCTAAACCTAATAATCTAAATTAAGCACTAGAGAAAAGTCATCAATTTTATTGATGTGAGAGCTTAACCTTGGCGAGAATAATAATACTAAGAAACGAAGATAAGATACATTGTTCTTCTAAAAGAGATTTGATGGCAGTAATCTGTTTGCATTTGCATTCTTTATATTAACTTTCTCATCAGCTGTCGATCACCATACATTTTTTTAAAATATTATATAAATACGTTTCCAGTAAAATAATGCAGACCGCTAGTGATCCCTGACCTTCCATACATAAACTGCAGCGTTTGTCATCTATTCTTTTGAGTAGTCGCATGGCGACTACCAAGTCATTGTTCGCAAGTTCAAATCTCCATGCAGTGGAAAACATTTGATAGTCGTAACTCGGCAAAGAAATAATATTTACCAATTGGGCATACGATCACTCCGTGCCTCGTTCCTAACTTTTTCCTAACTGTATAAAATGTGTATGAGGCATCTGGCGAGTGATATTAAGAAAAAAAAAAAAAAAAAGCTGTTGAGTGCTTGGATGTTTTTCACAATTTTTTTGCGAAATGTGAACAGATCTCATGTGTAAAATAAGTTCTGCTTTTTTCGAAAGAATTTTTAGAAAACATTTATAAAAAGTGCTTGAGAAAAGGTTTTCAAAAGAATTCTTTCAAAAATTTTCAAAATATCTAACCGGACTAACTTATTGAGTTCACTAGGTTAGTTAGTGAACTCGTTTATTTCAATTTACGATGCTTTTACTATATGGATCGCAATGGCTTTATTGAGAATTGAACTACAGCTACATTTGGCGAACTTAACGTACGTGAATGACTTGTTTAGACTATTTAATAGTTTTTATTCAACGAAGAAACTTTTGAACGAAAATCCATGGTTTCATAATCTTATCAAGAAGAACAACTTGAAAGGTAATAAACGAAAGAAAGATTTCCAACGTTCAAGGTACTTTTTCCTTTTTGCTAATTCAATAAAAAAAAATAAGTACTGTTATCTTTTATAGACATAACTTTTGCGAGTACATCTATCTATGGATACATGCAGATCTAAAACTTTCGAAGTCAATTATGATCGAATGAAAAGAAAGCCAGGTAACCGATCCGATTTACATGAAATTTTCGACACCGCACCTGTAAGAAATTTATATGAAAATGAACGGTAAGCCATGTCCAACGAAATTTCAAATTGCTGCACATTCTACGTGCTGAAGCGGTATTTGTGAGCGGATAACATTCACATTCAAATATGTTCTGTAAAATTGAAACAGGAACGTGTATACGAACTAAGCTTTAAACTTCCTTTTCAAAATGTTTACAAGTTCAATGACTTCGTAGCCTGATACATCAATGATGACATAGCTAGCACTAAGTAAGAACAAAATGTCGTTGGAAATTTGCGTTCTTTATGTGCACGAATCATCAATTCTAGATCGGTCTCGCAAATTATTCGATTCAGGCAGCAGGTTAAAGCAACTGGCATTTTGCTTGCTTCAAAAAAAGGAAAATTTGAAGAACTATGAACTATGGATTCATTATCCATTTGAAAAATGAATTAACCGCAAGCTTATTTTTGTTGTTGTAACATAAATATGTCCAGGAAGCGCGTAGAGTCCGTACTACTTCATACGCGATAATAAAAACTTGAGTTAACTCTCTTCTTAAGCTTAGTTTTACAAACGTTAATGTTGGTTCGTGGTCAAGATAGCTAAGCAGTTATTTTTTATATTTGATATTGAAGGATTGCCAATGGCTAGCAACTGATTTGGTTTACTGCTCAATTATTACGATTAAATAAAGCATATGGCATCTAAACTAATAAATTAGGTATGAAAAAGCTATTGCTAAGATTAGATGAAAAACGCTTTGTAATGCAATTTTTTCAGTAATATTTGCAATAAGTTTACGAGAATGCAATTAAATTGCTGGGTATACCATTGAAATCGGTTGTTTACTTCAATATTATCCACAAATGGTCAACATTTTCAAAAAACTTTAACACATGATCCAAAGGAAACTTGATGAACCGAAACGAACCATTAAAGCAACGCAATATAATGCAAAAAAAAATTTTGTAGAAAACTCTTATTTAACAGAATAAAAACAATGAATAATATTATAGTGGGCCACGGCCCGCTATTAAATACACGGCAACATTTTGCTTAATACAGTTATTCATATAACGATGTGGGAAGTAATAGTCCAATCGGGACCATTTTTAACAACGTTCCTCTTTGAGTCAAAACACGTCAGCCTACTAAATTTCATTGAAATATCTCCAAAAATTGCGACCTGTAAGTTGAACACAAGAAAATAAGACGGACAGACGAAGAGACAAGCTTAGATTGGTTGAGATAGTGATTCTCAATCGATTGGTGTAATAATAGGTCTGTTCATCTCAAATCGTTCTGGGCATCTCCATAAACTTGTTTGTAGCCTTGTAACAGAAATGGTGCATGGCATAAAAAAGGGGGTGAAGATAAATTCGAATTTAGCTCGTAAAGGCACTCATCAGCTTCGTTAAGCCGTTAGGAAAGAGGTGTGATTGAATTTAATCGCTGACACTTCACATCACCAAGCTCAACTTCTACGGTTCGAAACTGTTTTTACGAAACTTTTCAAAATTAATGTGTAAACATAAACTAACTATGGGGAAATGGTTAAATTTGAGGCTCTAGTGCGGCCACCGATATTCACTTACACTACGCGATGCTAAATGAAAATACCTTCCAAACAAGCGAAGTCGTTAAAAGAGGAAACGGGCGATGCATTGCTTTGCTAAGTATGTAATTCTCGAAAATTTTGGATGGAATACTTCCGAAAGAGAGAATTTGAATTTGGTTAGCTTCTTTGAGTGACGATATGCCCATAAAAATATCGTACGTTTGATAATTTGAACGGAGTAGGCTTTTAAATCCAACAATAGCTTCTCGATAACTACTTAACAGAGCGCTGTTAAAATAGTTGCGAACTGAACTCGAATTTATCTGCATGCATACCGTTGCATAAGAGCACCATTCATGATCGAGGCGATGCATTTCGAGATGCAAGCAAGATATTTCTGCCAAGTCCAAGTTAAAGCAGTCACAACATGAACCATCACACACCATTTCCACCAGCATCACACACAAACACAGCACATATGGCATATGGCATGGTCTTTCATTACACGTTTTAATTAAATAAAGCAGTTACGGCAGTCGTAAATTAATATTTGAAAGATTTAAGGAAAATTCATTTTAAGAATGAATTGATAAATTTAATCGAAATTGCTAGACAGGCAGGACGAAGCTTGAAGGAAGAAGACAGCGGCTGGCAATTTGGATTATTTACGTCGTTTTTGAAAATTGACAAAATTACAAAGTTTCCGATGCGTACAAGCAGGCAGAATAGTATAGTTTGCAGACCACACCTTCTGTCGGTGGGTTTTTAAATATAATAACTTGACCGCAAACGTAAATAGCTCAGTATTTATTCCTAACTATGTACGCAAAATTAATGTAAAAGCGACATGATGGCATGCATGCATGCATGCATGCATACATGTATATATGTATGTATGTATGTATGTACATATTATATATGTGATACATAGTGTAATTATAATTCAGATTGTCTACGAATTTTGCCAACTTTTCTTCATGAAACTTTGATATCTTTATGACCGCAGTTAAAAAACTGCTTTAAAATGTTGTTTTTTTTCTTTTTTTTATTATTATTATTATTTTTTTCTTTCTCTTTTTCTGTCGTTGCGTTTATCAAATTTTACATTTATGAATAGATTCATTCACAACACACAATGAGAAATGAATGAATTTGCTGTTGTTCTTTTATTATGTACATATAAAACTTTATCTACATAGAATAATATGTATACGGACATGAGCATGGACATGGACAGGGACACGGATATGCTTACATAGACTTTTTTTTTGTAAGTAAATAGAATTATCAGTGTTATA